GTCGGCCAGCGTCACGCTGCACGTGCTGCTGGTGGACGGCTTCTCGCAGCCCTACCTGCCGGCGGCCGAGGCGGCGCCCGAGCGCGCGCAGCCCGCCTCGCTCACCGCGCACCTGGTGGTGGCGCTGGCCGCCGTGTCGTCGCTCTTCCTGCTGTCGCTGCTGCTCTTCGTGGCGCTCAGGCTGTGCAGGAGGAGCGGGCCGGCCGCGCTGGGGGTGTGCTCGGCGGCGCCCGAGGGCCCCTTCCCTGCCCACCTGGTGGACGTCAGCGGCACGGGGACGCTGTCGCACTCCTACCAGTATGAGGTGTGTCTCTCTGGAGACTCTGGGACTGGTGAGTTCAAATTCCTGAAGCCGCTATTCCCCAACCTCGTGGGTCTGGACCCTGGTAGAGAAGTTAGAGAGGATCCTAACTGCAGGAACAGCTCTGTGTTCAGTTAAGTTTTGTATTTATTCAGTAAATCTCATTAATTTGGGCCAAATTCACCTTGAAATTTGTTTGCCTTCAAAAATGGTTTTCTAATGTAAATTTTCAATTTACAATATTCAAAATTTATTCTTGTTTCTGAGAGCCCTGAACTTGTTCCCTCCTTTTTAGTATTGTATTTAGCACTTTTATCAGTACTGCGTATGGAGGGGGTTTTTCACAATGTTTTACATTCCCTGAGTGAATAATCTTTCCACAAGTATGAATTCTTTAAGTAGTGAAAAAAATTATAACTGAGCACTTAAAGATCAGGCATTCTTGGCCTACCTGTGCAAAATAATGAATCCCAGGCCAGCCAAGACTATGTGGGAAGACTCACAAATTATATTTTTTATCATCTTAAGGCATTTTATCGAAATATTTTAAATGTTTAGCATGAAGTGCTAAATTTCTGTTTCTTAGTACTTGTTTAACAAGTTTCATCTTTTCATGACTACATTGTTTAAAACTCTTCATTTTATTTTATTGATACTGAGGTTTCAACCCAGGGCCTCTTGCATGTTAAGCATTTGTTCTACCCCTGAGCTACACTGCAGCTGAAACTTTTTGTAGTTACCATGACATTTCTGTTTGTCTATACTATAGAATTAATTCCCCTGAAGAACTAGAAGCATAAAAGTTAGTACATTCCTTTGCCTTGCATTGTAAGTAAACATGTGTTTCACTAAAATATTAGTGCATTAAAATTGCGATGTATTTCTATTGTATGTACCACACATATGCTAGAGGTTATCTGTTATTCAGGTTCTACATTTCTTTTTTCTTTTTTTTTTTTTTTTTTTTTTTTTTGCAGAACCGGGGATTGAACTCAGGCCCTTGTGCTTGCCAGGGAAGTTCTTACCCCACTGAGCCATATCCCCAGCCCCTAGTTTCTACATTTCTAGCACATTTTATTCCATAAAACTTATTGTTAAGTTTTAAAAAATATTTCTCTTTTACAAGTGATAAAGAGATCAGCTTATTTAATTTGCTATCCCTTTCAGTGAAACTAGTATGAGCCTGAGGGAATAGCTCAGTGGCAGAAGAAGCATGCACAAAGACCCTGAATTCAGCTCAATAAGAAACCCAAAACAAAACAAAACCCCATTATATCACTTTCTGTACCACAAGAGTAACTTCATAATCTGAAGTGAATCCTAAATTCCTCCAAAGAATTTGGGACTCTTAGGATATCATGTATTTTTTTAATCCTTTCTCCCTATAAACAGAAGTCTAATTGTAGTGTTTTTGATTTTCAGGTTGGGCTGAGTAAGGTTTGGTTTTGTAGAGCTGGGACATGCCTAGGCTCTCAGGCATGCTATCCGTGTGCTTTAGTATTATGCCCCATCCTCAACCATAAGTGTAGTTTATTGTGTGTGTTTTCTTTGGTCTTTCTGAAGCTTCTCCCTGACTTTCAAAGGAGTCCATAATTTTTTCTAAATGTTGGAAATCCTGTTTCATTAGGAATATAAGTTAATCTTGGATTTTTTCACTTTATGTTACTTTTTAGATATAAATCCTTATCCAAAAAATGTTTGTTTGATATTTAATCCTCTTGTTTTGCTCTTTAGTGTAACCTTCAGTTATTTTGAGTTAACTTAATTTTGCAATAACACAAGTTTGTATGAACTATATATTGTTTTTTTTCTTTAATAGTTTGGCACAATACTGAATTTACCTTAATTAAATTATTTATGCTCAATAAACCACATATGATGATTATGTGATTTCTAACTAGTTATATATGGATATAACTACAGGACAACTTCATTGAACTTTTGACAGTATAGGAGTAGCTGAAGAGCTTGCATTTTAATCTCATATGTTTACTTTTAAGTCTGAAGAATTCTTCTATTTCCCACTGAATTATTCCCTGATTTCCCCCCTTAATTTTTTTAGCATAGAATGAAATAAAAATGAAAATTATTGGCCAGTTGTTATTCTCAATTATAATTTTGGTTTTTGTCCAGTATAAATATTTAAGTGAAGGAAAAGTTAATAGTGAAAACAATTAAACACAAACAATGACATAAATTATGTAGCCAATTCTTATGATGTCTCCATTTATAATTAGCTATTAACATAGAGCTTTTATGTATAAGAAATCTGGATACAACAATATATTTCAGCATCATGAAGGTTCAAGTTCACTGGATTTGTTTATGCTAGGAAAGTCTAATTTGCATAATCATCCAAAGAAGATTGGCCAAATAGATACCAGAATGTATCTCATCCTTATATGTGTTCATATATTATGGGTAATTTCTTAGCAGCTAAGAGCTACCACCATACTGTATAATAGATTAATATTTTAAAATTCAGTAGTAAACATGACACAAGTAATTTTCACACAAGGTATTTCCTGTGGGAATAAGCCAGTTCTATTTTCACAGAATAAAAATAGAGAATGTGGATGGTGAGATAGCTCAGTGGACTAAGCACCTGCTTAGGCAAGAGCAAGGACTGGGGTTCGATCCCCAGCACCACATGCCATGGGGGCCCTGCCCCCACGTGCACTGAGACAGGGCATGGTGGTGCATGCCTGTAATCCCAGAGGTAGGGAGGCTGAAAACAGGAGGATCACTGTGAGTCCAAGCTGCGTAGTGAGACCCTGAACTAAATACATAAAAAAATTGAGACAGAAGCCCAAATATGTCCATAAGAACATTCATTTCAACATACTTTTTCCCAGATACTAATACAGTGTGGTGTTGGTGGTATAAGGGTGAGCATAGCTGCCTTCCAAATACTTCTAATATATGTGCATCTTCTACAACATTTTAACTGTTCTTTTTAGGCCCAGCAGGTAATAGACTTAACACATGCCATCTGAGGAGCAGACTTCTACTGGAGGCATTGTGAGTGCATATCCTGCTAAGATTTCTTCTTATGATCAAAAGTCACAAAATACACATTTAAAGTAAGAAGTTAAAATTAATTTATGTATTTGCTGGAGTTCAGCTTCTACATTAGATAGATTATCTGACAGGAGAAAGGAACCCTAAATACTGGCTGAATATCTCCTTAACAGAACACCAAGCAGATGATAATAAGAACTATGTGAGTCAAGATTTCTGAGAAGGAAAATCCTCTAGGATAAGAATAGAGACCGAAGTCAGTTTTACTCCAAGGATATTTCCAAAATCTGAAAATAATAATAGGCTTTTGACAAAACTGAATAACTTTGGTAGCTTTGTTAGACAGAACAACTAAAGTGCAGTAGCTATTTCCCCTTCAAGGGAAATAGCTAATTCTGACCAGCCCAGAGAACACTGAAACATTGTGAAAAATTTGTAACAATAAAAGAGAGTAAAGTTTGTCTTGCTATGTAAAGATTGCTGCTTGGGACATGCCACTGGAAGGACTATAGTGAATATACCAAGTTCTCATTTGAATATTCTGCAGAGCTCAGTGCTTATCAGGACTGCAAGGGACCTTGACTAAGCACAAAGTCTTTGTTAGGACAAAGGTGATTTGATTAGATAGTGCCCCTAAAGCTAATAGAGGGAAAGAAGAACTCTCCCTTAAAGAAGATAATGTCTTAATCGTGGGTAGCTTTTTACATAATATCTAGCATTCGGTAAAAATAAAAATACTAGGCTCATGCACACAAACTAGAGGATATGAATAAAACTGCAGAAATCATAGCACAAATGATCTATAGATGACCTATTGATCCAGATACAATTAGCTATCAAAGATGTTGAAATAAACATGACAGTAAGTAAAAAATAAGGAATAATAGATGAAAAAGATCATTACACCTGAATATTTAAATTGTAAAATGGAAAATAATTGTACAACTGAAAAATATTCTATCTGACATAAAACTATACAAATGATTAATGTCATAAATGTAAAGATATGTAAGATTAGTGGATAAAAGACAGGTCAATGTAACAATCCAATGTGAAACACAGGAAAAATAATGAAAAATATAAAAAAGGAAATCGGTGTCATGTAGAATATAACCAAATCTCTAACACATATGTGCCTGTAATTGTAGAAAGATAATGTTGCAGGCAGCTGAGTTAGACAGAAATACTATAGGCAGTCAGACAGGGCCAGGCCCTCAAGGAGACAAGATGGAAGACAAGGTGACTTTGCAACTTGGAAGAGACAGACACTCCCATATGGGCCACACCTGAAGACCAAGACAAAAAGAGGAAGCACAGCTACATACTTCCCTAGGGATGGGCATTAGGGATTGATATTCTGAATAGTATCAATCAACTTGAAAGAGCCCAAATGAGTCACTAGCCCAACCCCCAACAGGAAGAGACCCTGTTCCATATTCATGCCTGCTTGCTATGTGACTCGCTTTCCCATTTGATACTGGATTTAATCAGTTTTACCTGAGCAATGGTGCCTGTAATCTCATTGGTTGACCATAGTCCCATCTCATGCCCAACTAAACAAGTTCCCATGTCTTCTCCACCACCTTAGACCTGCCTCACCACATGGTTTTCCTCTACAAAAGTCCCTGCAAGAGACAACTTCCTGGGGGGAACTACCCGCTCAGCCCCCGCTCCTGTCCCTCTCTCAGGACAGGAGCTCTCTTTCTCTCAATAAATATATTCTGCTCATAACCTCTGTTTGTTCCTAAAATTCATTCTTTGGCTTTAGAGAACACAAACGCATGCAGGTCAGGTCCAGAGATCATTATTCTCTATGTCATTTGGAGGTTCCTTATATGGTTTGGAGGTCACCCACCCGAGACCAGTTTTTCTCCCTGTATCAATAACAGCAAATAAAAGTGGGTATAAGTGATATTTGAAGTGATAATGACCAATAATTTTCCAAAATAGGCAACGTTTTTAACCCTTAAATATGAGCAATGAAACCTAACAGAAAAATGAAAAATAATGTTACCATATAAAAGACTCCAAGACAAAAGCCAAAGAGGAGAAGTCTTAAAAGTAGTAATCTAAATGATATTACTTGACGAACTGAATTAGCAAAAATAATGAGCATTTTTATTATCAATATAATATTAAGGAGCAATGTTTAGAAAATATA